TTTAGGATGAAGATAATAATAATAAATAATAATTTAAATATTATGTAATATTAATAAATAAATTTTAATAAAAAATTTTAAAACACGTAAAATTGTCTATTATATTATCAATTGTTATAAAAAAAATACAGTAGCAAAAACGTAAATAACAATAAATATAAACCTTTAGAGTCATCTGAAAAAAACAGAGTACTTCGAAAAATATATATATAATCTTTGCTCCAGAGATCTCTAACAAAAATAAAGATCTTTGCCATATTAATTTTATTAATAAAGTAAGATTTTATTTATCAAAAATGATATTGCTTCTATTTATATTTTTTTCTTCTTACATTTGCACAAAAATCCAAATAAAACCCAATCCATATCTAATCAAGTAAAAAAAATACATCAATAAAGCCTGATATAAAGAAGAAGAGTACTCAATCTTATGTACATTACAATATGTATCTATGAATTATGTTTTGTATTGCTAGAAAAGTAACTGATCTTTTATGTTGCTGCTGCATACATAATTTTTTTTATATCATGTAACTGCTGGTCAGACTGAGAATAATTTTTAATCAAAAGTCATAATCTGATATGTATTCATTGTGACTTGCACTATCTCTTGTTGGATTAACTATTTATTGCAGAAAAAAATATATAAAACAAAATGTCACAATAAGATTAAAACTTATTACCATCTCTATATATTGTATGGCCAGATTTATTCTTTGGTTAATGAATTCAAGTTATTTTATATATAATCAATATTATTTATTTTATAATTATAATAAAATTCAAATATATAAAAAATAAGCTTATATTAAAAATTGAATAAATTATAACATATTATTAATAATTATTACTAGTTATTGTTAAGTAGGGATTATTAATTCCTATATCCACATATGGATGGCTTTATCAAGCAATACTTGTAGGAAAATTTTGTAGGTTCTGTTTATATCCCTGTCCATAACCATATAACAGTTTTCATATTTATAAACTTTTCTTTTACTAATATTTTATATGTTCCTACAATAGCTACAGATTTTGGAGGTGTATATCTCTTTCTGGAAGATTATTATTACACCTATTTCCTCAATCTTGTGTTTTAGCCATTGCCAAAACACATAATATAACTAGGTAAGCATACTCTGAACTACTTTCAAATTGATTTTTCATTGATCTCATTTTATCATATGTTTACATTAAATTTAGATATAATTACAACATCATAATTTTGGATCAGGTAATTTACTGTTTTCTTGTGAAACTCATTATATAGATTCTTGATTTTTCGAAAGATTCTCATGATTGCACTATTCAATCTTTTTGCTATTCTTTTTTTTTTGTTTTAATATAGAATTGTTTAAAAAATCTCTTTGGAAACTTAATCTGTTAGTATGTAATCCTAATTGAACTAATCCCTATACATTATTCTTTCCAATTTCTGTTACATATTCAATAGATAAGTACATGATAAACAGAGTTTGTACCTTAAAATTAATAGTTACAAACTTTTCATAAGCTTCCCTATTCTATTTTGGTCTTTTATGAACCCATAATAGGATCCAATCATTTGTTTTTCAATAATAAATAACCTTGCAATCACAATTGATTTTTTTAAATGACTATTTGTTATGTTTTCATTGGATTTCAAAGTGTAAAGATCATAAGTCTCTCTTGTTTTGTGTGATAATGCAGAGTTTCTTTTTGATATTCATATGTGCATCGATCAGTTGTATAAGTATAACATATAAAAGTAATTTCAATTTCTTTCTGAAAAATTTTGCAATTGAATACTAATAGTATGTATGAAATTCTTCTTTGACTTGAATTTTAATATGGAATTTTTATCTTTTTAATTATAGTTCTTTTTTTTTTTTAAAGTGGAACATGTGCACGGCATGTGATCTTTATTGATACATTTAATATTCAAACAAATACCAAGTGTCTCTACAAACTAACCGGAAGTCGGTTGGTACATAAATACCCTTTATGTCTCTACAGTTAATCTGCAGTTTAACATTGCCTAGTACATATATTACTATAAGACTAGCTACACTAACTACTTTTTTTACCTAACTATATATTTAACATCAAGTAGATGTGTCCACATGTTAGGTGGGACTTTCGCAGGGGGGAGAATCCTACCACTAGTTTAAACCCGCCTAAACCTGCTGATCCATTATTGCAAAAAGTAGTATATATGGGATGTTAATTATAGAGATTAACCCTAGTCATTCCAATCACTTGTTATCACTGATCCTCGGGATGTGCCACTAGCATAGCACAACACTACCGTTTTTACCACCTGTGGAATTGGCATCCTTGCTTGGATTCCGATTTAATCTTATAGATCCTCACTAGACTCACTTGGCTTAACGATTTTTGTTTAGTCTTCTCACCACTTGTGGCTGATACCTTGCCCATCAGCCATATGATTAAGTTCTGTGGAACATCACCATTGGGATAGATCTATAAGCTCCAGATTGGAATAGATCAGCTTAGAATTAATCTCTTTATATTATGTAACGGAGTCTGCCGTCGCCAGTTTGGATTGGAGTTTGTGGACTTATTACTGAAATTAGACCAGAAGTCTTTCCTTGTGCAACCTTCCTTGCTTCAACCTGTTTTCAGCCTGTGATCATCGGGAAGACCAGAGGTTCCATATTCATGCAGCCTAACTAAATTTGGAGATAGATTTTTATTGGCTGATTGGGTACGACATGAATTGGAAGCCAGTCAATCAATCATGAAGGTGATAAATTTTTGTAATCAGGCAGGGTTGAACCCTAGACCTTCTCCTGGTGATCTATAAAGCATTACCACTGTGCTATAGACCTATAGGTCTTCTTTCTAATTATAGTTCTTTATCATCTCATTTGCTATTTCATTAATAATGTTATTGGGAATCTCTTTATAGATACCTTTGAGCTTAAGCATAATATATAGTATATAAGATAACAAAGATATTAAGTACTTGAATAGTTGAGGTAAAGTTGAATAGATGTTTTTGTTATTTGCTCTGATAAATTCAGTTGCTCTTGCAGATTTAGTTACATTTGCATCTGAATGTGTGATTTGAAGTAAGTAATTACTATATTATGGGTTAATCTTATCAATCTTATTCATTGCTTTAATAATTGTTTTTGAGTATAATTTAAATACAATCTTATATTTAGTATCCTGTTCATACTTTTATCTATTTTCTTTTTTTTTTATTTTTCTTATTGTTAAGACTCCTTTTTTTTTTTTCTTCGATATTGTACAGCTCTTTTTTCTTGCATTCTGCAGATGAAGACAATATTAATAGTAAGAATATTTTTGGATAGTTCATGTTTATCAATTGTTGAATTGTCAAAGAGAACCATGAGTTTTGTAGTGTGGAATAGTGTTACAAATAATTAGTTGAAAAGTTCAAAATTAGCCAATCAGAATTCAGGATTTTTAGTTGCAACTAGTTAATTATATTGAAAACAACTAATTAATTAGAAAATTTTTTGCCAACTAAAATCATTAGTGTAAAGTTAGAATATGTATTGGATAAGGTTAAAAACAAACTGACAGAGTCAATTATAATGGGTAACCACAACTTCTGAGACCATTCCATGACTTGCTTATTTCAGTAAGATCTTAAGTCCTGGTCATTTAAAATTAATATTTAAACCAATATCACTAAGAAGTTTGTGGGTTGGGAATTGAGAGAGAAGGATCTGTTTTTGTTGTTTGAGGACTTCTTTTTGCTTAGCACTGGAGACACGAGCATATAATAAACCTTTTTTGATGATGATATCGGCAGTAGTGATGATGGCTTTGATAGCATTTTAAGAAATTGTCTCAGGAAAAAAAAAAGAAATGTTGTAAAGGTGAATTCCAGAGGGAGATTTCTTAGCAGAGATCTTTTCTTGCTTGAGCCAACGATGTAAAGTATCTGACGAGATACCAAGTTTCTTGATTGCTTGGTGTGCAGATAAGTACATTTAAAAAAGGGATCTTATGATTGTAAACAAATAGAAATAATGGAATATCGTTTATAATATACATTTTTTTTTCTTTATTGTTAATTCACAAAACTAGTTAAAGTAATACATAATTATAATTCATGATTTTACAATTATAAAATTGCATATGAAAGTTTGAATTTTGACTGCATATAGCAAAATTAATTTATGCTTAACTACATATGGGTTTGAGACCACTTCTTGCCTAATCAGACAATTTGGAACCAGCCCAAATTTTTAGTACATCGGTCTCTTGGTCACCTTCACATGCAACCACTAAGAAACAAGCGAATACATCTCGAGAAACAGTGACTCTTACAAAAAGAAATGTGAGAAAAACAGCCTGGGTAGTTCTATAGAGAACCGCAACTAAAAGGGGGGTTGGTTAATTGTTTGGATGATGTGATAAAGCGAAAAACATCATGCCCTCAATAAGAAAGTCAGAGATGACCTTTGCGATGGACACACGTCCGCGTATGCACCCGTCATGTCATATAAATAAATATGCAACTGACGGGAATCCGTAAATTATTATCCTGAAGTCGGAAACCCACGTCTCAACATTGTTTGCCGGCACTCATCATTTTGGAACCAATCTTCACCATCTTCTGGCGGTAAACCCTTCATTTCTATTACCAGAAACTTCGCCGTCAATACTCTGCAGACTGCTCAAAAAATCGCCCAGAATTTCGGGATTTGGTGGCGAAAGATCCAAAATGGGTTTACCAGTGTGCACGGTACCATTATGCGCGTGCCTGGGTATTACTGCAATAATTTCGGGTGCATGTATCGAGTGTCTCCAATTCTTTGGTTTTCCACTACCATCACTGGATCTAGTTGTTGAGCTGTTGGACCTTGATGTCGATTGATAGGAGGAATTTTTAGTAGCCAATGGCGGTAATTTACCTATCCTATCTCGACCATCATATGAATCGCTTCGATTATTGCCAATATTCACTTCTTCTTCTACACCATTCATCAAAGAATTGGGAATCTCGCTTTCGCCATTACCACCCCCACCATGATTAATATGGCCACCTCGTTCACTATCAAGACTTTTTCTCGACTGTGCATTTCTGGGCGCTAACAATATCTGTGGTTTTATTAATAATACCGGAGTGATGGATGCTCGACGTCTTCTTTGATGTGGATTAAAATTGCCAATATCATTAGTGGAAGATTGTGTTGACATCGAAGCGGAATTAGCAAGGTCAAAACTTGGTCTTCCCGAATTTGTGGTCATCGATTCATCACCGGGGTTATGTTTGCACCCATAACGGTTTTTTGGACTAGCAAAGCCGGAATTAGTAGATCCCACAAGTGAATCATCCCGTTTCAGTGTGGGTGAAGGCTGCTGAACCAATCCAGGCATTGACGAGGATTTCGAGTGATTGACTTGTGATGAAGGATAAATTGATGATATCGGCGGAGATGAGATAGGTGTGGACAACGAGGAAAATGAGGTTGCTCGACTGCGAACCCTATTGTTTATTGGTAAAGTCGGGGAGGAATATTTGTATGATGAATGCGAAGAAATTGAGGAAATTGAGGATGTCGTGGAGACGGAGTCGTGAAGTTGCAATGGATCTGATTTTAGGAATTCCGTCGAGGCTCGTAGGGTTGTTAGAGCAAAACTAACACAATTTCGGGGAGAAAGAAAGACAAATGGGAATGGGAATCGGTAAGATGGGTATCGCACGGATCGACGCAAACACGTTTATAATACTTACCTCAATTCGGATCTCTCCACTTTTGACAATCTAAAGGTTTGCATGTAAAATAATATACTCTCCAACTTTCGAATTTTACTGTTTACGATAACATAAGCTAGCAATGGTATAAAGTCATCTGTGGTGATCGGTGATCTCTTGGTTTCATTGTTTATTGCTTTAGGCGCGGCCAATTGTGTTAGATAGGTGTCCGAAATGGTGGCAATTTCTTGCACAGCTCGTTTGACACAAACCAATTTTTCCAACGGGGTTTTCGCCGGTATTATTATCCCATTATTGCCAATAACATTATGAACGCCATTATCATTTTCATCGTTATTTACAACATTCTTGTCATCTTCCGCATCATCGGTTATGTTAGAATGAGTGGTAATGCCAAGACCGGCAAACTTCAACGAGTCATAATCACGTATTTCGATATTAGTCTCATCGTCTTCGTTCAAGGCTCTGAGTATTTCGGATGCAGATTTCAACATTTCCGTCGGCATATCTTGCAATCTCTCGCATATGCCATAATCCTTTAGGGACACCTGAGCACGAGAGTATACATTGATTATTGATTCAAGGTATGAGTCACGAGAATTGTATATTGGCAG